CAGACACCACTGCGATGCACACAAATGATTAATCAAGACTAAACTTGGCACACAGAGTCCCCATGGCCCACTCTACATCCTGGTGCTGTTTGGAGGAGGATGGACCATGGACAATGGGACTTGCATATAGGAGTTGTAGTTCACCCGCACCCACTGAAACAGCTGACATTGGATCTAGACTAAACTTGGAACACAGACAAGCAATGCCTTTCTCAAATAACTCAGATGCCACCAGGTCCCCAAGCTAGTAATATATAAAATAGCACTGGGAATATATATATATATATAATCTCTTCATTCACATATTTTGAAGATTAACTATGAAAACAAAATGGAAATAAATTTCAAAATATTTAGATACTTGGAAATATCTGAATCTGTTAATGATGGGAAGAATTGCTGTAATAAAAATGAATGTTTTACCAAAAATGTTGTATCTGTTCCAGACGATACTAAGAAGCATGCAGATCTTCAAATTATGGAATAAATATATAAGAACATTTATTTGGCAAGGCAAACAACCAAGAATAAAAATTATCAATCTCACAGATGAAAAAAGGAGGGGAGGCTTCGGCCTACCAGATCTTCAATTATATTATGAGGCATGTGGGCTAAGTTGGATAAAAGAATTGTAGACCCTAAAAAATACAAAAAATTTGACACTGGAGGGATTTGATTTAAGAAACGGATGGCATTCATATCTATTACACTTTACAACCTGGTGTGTTTTTGGGCAGGATGGTCCATGGATGATGGGATTTGCAGTAACTTCACCCAATTCACTTCCCACAAAACACTGCAGCACCAACAGATCACAGACCTTGATCAAACTTGGCACACAGACCCCTCATGACCCACTTTATGTCCTGATAGAGTTTGTGGGAGGGCGGCCCATGGATGATGGGACTTGCAGTACCTTCACTCACTTTCTGAGACTATTGCGACCCTCATTCAATTACCGATAAAGGCAGGAGCCCCCGATGGCGCAGTGGGTTAAACTCCTGTGTCGGCAGGCCTGCAGACGGACAGGTCGCAGGTTTGAATCTGGGGAGAGTGCAGATGAGTGCCCTCTATCAGCTCCAGCTCCTCATGCGGGGACATGAGAGAAGGCTCCCACAAGGATGATTTTAAAAAAAACCATCAAAACATCTGGGCGTCCCCTGGGCAATGCCCTTGCAGATGGCCAATTCTCTCACACCAGAAGTGACTTGCAGTTTCCCAAGTTGCTCCTGACATGACAAAAAAAAAAAACCCGATAAAGACCAAACTTGGCACACAAAGCCCCCATTATCCACTCTACATCCTGGTGCAGTCTGGAGGAAGATGGACCACAGATGATGGGACTTGAAGTACCTTCACTCACTTCCTGAGACCACTGCTACCCTCATCCAATGACTGATCAAGACCAAACTTCACACAGAGCTTCCACGACCCACTCTACATCCTGTTGTGGTTTGAAGGAGGATGGAATATGGATGTTGGGACTTGCACTACCTTCACACACTTCCTGAGACCACTGTGATCCTCACCAATGATGGATCAAGATCGACCTTGGCACACACAGCCCCATTGACCCACTACATCCTGGTGCAGTTTGGAGGAGGATGGATCATGGACTATGGCACTTGCATATGGGAGTTTTAGTTCACCTGCACCCACTGAACCAAGCTGACATTGGATCTAGGCTAAACTTGGGAGCACAGGCAAACAATGCCTTTATCAAGTAACTCGAGCACTGCCGGGTTCCTGAGCTGATTTGTAATACAAGGGTTCCCTCTTGTGGCTATATTAAAGAACTGGGCTATGCTATATAAAGCCACAAGACGGCAGCCTTGTACTGAAATTGGTCCTTTTAATCAGCACAGAGCTAAGATGATGACCTGCTATATGTAACCACAAGAAGGCACCCTCGTGCAGAAATTGGGCCTTGCATTTCGTGGCAGAATGGGAAATGGCATAAAGACCCAGGAAGGAGGCCCATTCAGCCCCACTTTCACCATTGGGAAGATTGATAGTATGTTGAGAGGAAGCCCAGCCAAACTAAGTGTGAAAGGGACGACCAAAGGCCATCTGGAGCAGCCCGTTGTCAACTGAAAACCCCAGAGGGCAAACCCATTGGCAGAGAATTGGGAGAAAACCCCAGGTGCCATGTAGTCCAACCCGCCTCTGTTGCAAAGGGGAGTTTTGCCTCTCAAGAAGGCGCCTTAATGCTAGTTTCTTGCAGATGATGTCAAACACAAGGGAATATAGTGAAACAGTGTCTGCATCGAATCCAGGGGTGATTTCAGTGTCCAACTTCATTGCAAAGCGTCTTTGGTGAGATTAGGATGAGAGAAGGATATCCTGTCGCCTGGCGTTCATTTCCTAGCAGCAARTTGTCTTTTTTAATTGTTTCTTTCACACCAAAATATCGACCAACCCACTAAAGTAATGATGATGGTGCTTTGAAGATTCCCCCCCCCCCCCAAGATTTCTTCTACATTCCTACGCAGAATCAAGACATGTTTATCGATTTTGTATGGCTTGGAATGGGAAAAGAATACGGAGAAGAGTGACGTCCYGGGATGATATGGAATGATAATTTTTGATGATCCGTTCTGCAGATGATGGGTGGGAATGGCAGTGCAGCCGCCCTTCTGGCCCTGAGGCCAGGAAAAAGGCAAGAGGGTATTTCAAAGACAGGCATTCTATCTATAATTCAGACCCCATTCTCCTGACTTGAGAGTCCTGTATCACAACTCCCTTTAGCTCTAATGATCTGGTTGTGATCTCCAGGTTGTGACAGCCAGCTTTCGTATGATATTATTTCTACCACCCACTTTTTGCTTGATAGTCAAGCAGTGCTTCTTGTAAATCAAGAGCACGGTCCAAAGTGACTCCCAGGTATGTTGGTGTGCTGCAATGCTCCAGTGGGATTCTTTCCAAGGTCATCCTCAGAGCTCAAAATGCTTATCTGTTCTTAAGGTGAAAAGCACACGTCTGTGTTTTAGATGGATTAGGAATCAGCTGCTTTTCCCTGTAATAGGCAATAAGAGCACCTAAAGCTTCAGAGCTTCTGTTCAACCATTTCAAAGCTGCCTTCTTCAGCGGTGATGGCACAATCGTCAGCATAGATTAAACTCTCCGTCCCTTCTGGCAGTGGCTGATAATTTGTGTAAATGCTAAATATTGACGGAGCAAGCCTTTTTAGTGAACAAAGTCCCTCTCTTCTCCATCCTTAGAATTGGGAGAACTACATCCGATCCTGGAACCTCCTTCCGAATGGCCGCAGCCTGATCGTGGGAGTGGCGGCTTGTTGTATCATCTATATAAATAAAAATGTAAGGTTAGTTTGTGGGATTAACATGACTCAAAAACCACTGGACAAACTGTCACCGAATTTGGACACAATACACCTAGCAGGCCAACGAGTGACCATCACTCATAAAAATAATAAAAACACAGCAGATGGGATTTAAAAAGCCAAAAAAGCAAAATGATGCTACAGCGCATGCAAAGACACCCCCCCCCCCGACAAACAAAGCACACAATAGCATATCCACACTCTCTTCTAGACTATAGTTCCCATCATCCCATTGACCAGGTCCTTTTGGAGAGGAGGATTATCCAAAGGCGTTGCTTCCAAGCTGCAAGCTTTCTTCTCCTTGGATTTCTTTGAGAGCATCCCAATCCCTGCATATTTCCAATTTCCTATTCCTGGTCTGCAACTCCCAGCAATCCTCCAGATAGATAGAACTAGGTAGAGATAGGTAGGTTGGTAGATAGATAGGAGGACTGCTAGGAGTTGCAGTCAAAGAATAGGGAGGGAAGGAAGAAAGGGGAGAAAGGGGAAGGGAAAGAAAAGGGGGCGGAGGATGGAAGGGAAGGGGAAGAAAAGGAAGGAAGGAGAGAAAGAAAGAGAAAAGGAAAGGAAAGTGTGCGAGAAAGAAAGAGGAGAAAGAGGGAGGGAAGATTGACCACAGCAAGGCGTAGCGGGTACAGCGAGTATAATATAGATCCGCCAAAGATCTATTCACTCTTTGCAATCTGTTAAAAATGGCCACCTAGAGGTCGCCCAGTCGTCTCTCACTTGGTGAGATCTCGCGAGAGCTGGATTTAGATTATCTGTATATGTTCAGCTCTCGCGGGATTACATCAAGTAACCAGTTTTATCAAAGGAACCGGACTCGCTTAGGAAACCTCGCGAGAGGTATAAAACTCTTACGAAAATGCCTGCCTTTTCTGAAATCTCGCGAGAGGTGGATTAAAAATAATAATATAATCTTCAAATATAGTATATCGTTAGATATACCTTCAGATATAACATAATAATATATGAATAGGGAAAGGTTTTCTCCTGACATGAAGTCCAGCCGTGTCCAACTCGGGGGGTTGGTGCTCATCTCCATTTCTAAGCTGAAGAGCCGGCGTTGTCCATAGACACCTCCAAGGTCATGTGGCCGGCATGGCATGACTGCATGGAGCTCCGTTACCTTCTCCTCCAGAGCAGTACCTATTGATCTACTCATTTTTGAACTAGGTTCTTGTGGGTTTTTTCGGGCTATAGGGCCATGTTCTAGGGGCATTTCTCTTGACGTTTCGCCTCAGAGGATGCTTGCCATAGATGCAGGCGAAACGTCAGGAGAAATGCCTCTAGAACATGGCCCTATAGCCCGAAAAAACCCACAAGAACCTAGTGATTCCGGCCATGAAAGCCTTCGACAATACATTTTTGAACTGCTAGGTTGGCAGAAGCTGGGGCTGACAGCGGAAGCTCATGCCGCTCCCTGGATTCGAACCTGCGACCTTTCGGTCAACAAGCTCAGCGGGAGAGAGAGAGAGAGAGAGACTAGTTCAAATAGCTTCCTTTTCGGAAATCTCGCGGGAGTGAGCGCCGTCTACTCTCCTTGTTTTGCCTCTCCTAAGATGGCGTCCGCCTCAATTCTCGCTTTTCCTCTGACATCCCGCGAGATTTCCTTATCGAGATCTCCTCTTGTGTGCTTCTCTTAAATCGCGGCCGGCTCAATTCTCGCTGTATCCCTGACTTCCCGCGAGAGTTCCCGATCAAGGCCTACTCTTTTCTCGCCTCTCTTAAGAAGGCGGCGGGCGCAATTCTCGCTCTGTTGCTGATTTCTCGCGAGGGTTCTTTTTCTCTCTCTCCTCGTTCGTTCCGCGCCTGCGTGAAGGCAAATCTAGCCGGGTTGCCGCCATGAGCTCCACGCTCGCTAAGATCGCCGAGATCGAGGCCGAGGTCAGGCAAATCGAGATCGAGAGAGATCTCTTCCGTTTCTCCAGAAGCGCTTCAGGCAGGCCGTGATTGGGGAGGGGCGTAAGGGCGCTTCCGCAGTGACGTCACGGAGGGGGGAGGGGCCTGTCAATGTTGCCTTTGTTTCTATTTGAATGTGTGCGTCTATAACTGTATATATACATAGAGATAACATTGATATATAATTATGCCTAAAGGGATATTTTATCATATCTAAATATATATATCTGATTATATCTGAGGGTATATTATATTATACTATAAGGCAGTGGTTCTCAACTCAGCAGACTGAAAGCCAAAACCAAGGTTACAACATCTGTTATAGAACTCCAGTATGCTGATGACAATGTTGTCTGTGCGCATTCAGAAGAAGGCCTACAAGCCACTCTAAATACCTTCGCAGAAGCATACGAGAAGCTCAGCCTGTCATTGAACGTCGAGAAAACCAAAGTGCTCTTCCAGCAGTCACCAGCCAATCCCTCTCCAATGCCAGAGATACAACTTTATGGTGTAACATTAGAAGATGTTGACCATTTCCACTCCCTTGGCAGTCACCTCTCCACCAAATCAACATAGACACCGAAAGACAACACCGCCTGAGCTCTGCGAGTGCAGCATTTTTCCAAATGAAACAGAGAGTAGGTTCTTGTAGGTTTTTTCGGGCTATAGGGCCATGTTCTAGAGGCATTTCTCCTGACGTTTCGCCTGCATCTATGGCAAGCATCCTCAGAGGTAGTGAGGTCTGTTGGAAATAGGAAAATGGGTTTTTACATCTGTGGAATGACTGGGGTGGGGCAAAGAGCTCTCTGCTGAAGCTAGGTGTGAATGTTTCTGCCATACATCAAGGGAACCACTGACCGCATAGGGAAGCTGATGAGGAAACATAACATACAAACAATCTACAAACCCACCAAGAAAATCCAACAAATGCTACGTTCAGCAAAGGACAAGAGGGATCCTCTCACCTCTGCAGGAGTCTACTGTATACCATGCAGCTGTGGACAAGTCTACATAGGGACCACCAAACGCAGCGCCCAAACACGAATCAAGGAACATGAAAGGCACTGCAGACTACTTCAACCAGAGAAGTCAGCCATAGCAGAGCCCCTGATGAACCAGCCTGGACACAGCATATTATTTGAGAACACAGAAATGCTGGACCACTCCAACAACCACCATGTCAGGCTACACAGAGAAGCCATTGAAATCCACAAGCATGTGGACAATTTCAACAGAAAGGAGAAACCATGAAAATGAACAAAATCTGGCTACCAGTATTAAAAAACTCTAAAATTACAACAGCAAAACAGCAGAGAGGAAACAACCAGGCACATCTTAACACCTCTCAACAGAACATTTTCCCAGGCTCAGCCAAGCCTTCAAATTCTAATGAAGGTGGTCAGCTGAAACATTCACACCTAGCTTCAGCAGAGAGACTCTTTGCCCCACCCCAGTCATTCCACAGATATATAAACCCATTTTCCTATTTCCAACAGACCTCACTACCTCTGAGGATGCTTGCCATAGATGCAGGCGAAACGTCAGGAGAAATGCCTCTAGAACATGGCCCTATAGCCCGAAAAAACCTACAAGAACCTAAGTGATTCCAGCCATGAAAGCCTTCGACAATACATTGAAACAGAGAGTGTTTGAGGACTGGGACATCCGTAGGGATACCAAGTGCTTGTCTATAAAGCTGTTGTCCTCCCAACCCTGCTATACGTTTGCGAGACGTGGACTGTCTACAGATGTCACATGCGACTCCTGGAACGATTCCATCAGCACTGCCTCTAGAAAATCCTACAAATCTCTTGGGAAGACAAGCAGACAAATGTCAGCGTGCTGGAAGAAGCACTGAAGCGATGGTCCTCTGCCATCAACTCCGCTGGACTGGCCACGTTGTCCGGATGCCCGACCACCATCTCCCAAAGCAGTTGCTCTACTCCGAACTCAAGAACGGAAAACGGAATGTTTATGGGCAGGAAAAGAGATTCAAAGATGGGCTCAAAGCCAACCTTAAAAACTCTGGCATAGACACTGAGAACTGGGAAGCCCTGGCCCTTGATGGCTCCAGCTGGAGGTCAGCTGTGACCAGCAGTGCTGCAGTATTTGAAGAGCCATTAAAGAGGGCAAAAGAAACGTGCCAAAAAGAAGGCGCGTCAAGCCAACCCCAACCAGGACTGCCTTCCACCTGGAAACCAATACCCTCACTATGGGAGAAGATGCAGATCAAGAATAGGGCTCCACAGTCACCTACAGACCCACACTGGAGGATTATCCTACTCGGACAACGAGATATCGCCTAAGTAAGTAAGTAAGGTTCTCAACCTGTGTGTCCCCAGATGTTTTGGTCATCAACTCCCAAGAAATCCTAACAGCTGGTTAACTGGCTGGGATTTCTGAGGGTAGTAGGCCAAAACACCTGAGGACCCACAGGTTGAGAACCTTACTTAGGCGTTCCCTCGTAGCTTGAGGATGATGGTCCAGATGTGGTGTCATGAAATGAAATGCAACAATACAGAATGGGGGACGCGTGGCTCGAGAGCAGTACGTGTGAAAAAGATCTTAGTGTCCTTTGGACAAGTTAAACATGAGCCAACAATGTGATGCGGTGGCAAAAAAAGCCAGTGGGATTTTGGCCTGCATCAAGAGGAGTTTAGTGTCTAGATCCAGGGGAAGTCATGCTACCCCTCTATTCTGCCTTGGTTAGACCACACCTGGAATATTGTGTCCAATTCTGGGCACCACAATTGAAGAGAGTTATTGACAAGCTGGAATGTGTCCAGAGGAGGGCCATTAAAATGATCAAGGGTCTAGAGAACAAGCCCTATGAGGAGCGGCTTAAAAAGCTAGGCATGTTTAGCCTGAAGAAGAGAATGCTGAGAGGAAGCATTTTAAACCATGTATAAATACGTGAGAGGAAATCACAGGGAGGAGGGAGCAAGCTTGTTTTCTGCTTCCCTGGAGACTAGGACGCAATGGAACAATGTCTTCAGACTACAAGAAAGGAGATTTCATCTGAACATTAGGAAGAACTTCCTGACTGTGAGAGCCGTTCAGCAGTGGAACTCTCTGCCCTAGAGTGTGGTGGAGGCTCCTTCTTTGAAAGCTTTTAAACAGAGGCTGGATGGCCATCTGTCAGGGGCGCTTTGAATTTGATTTTCCTGCTTCTTGGCAGTGGGTTGGACTGGATGGCCATGAGGTCTCTTTCAATTCTATGATTCTTGGTGGTGGGTCCGTAAGTGACTGTGGAGCCCTATTCTTGATCTGCATCTTCTCCCGCAGTGAGGACATCTGTTTCCAGATGGAAAATGGTCCTGGTCCTGGTTGGCTTGACGCGCCTTCCTCTTGGCACGTTTTGCCTTCCATTCGTGCCTCTTCGAATTCCGCAGCACTGCTGGTCACAGCTGACCTCCAGTTATAACACTCAAGGAGCTTCCCAGTTCTCGGTGTCTATGCCACAGTGTTTAAGGTTGGCTTTAAGCCCATCTTTAAATCTCTTTTCCTGTCCTCCAACATTATGTTTCCGGTTCTTGAGTCGGGAGTAGAGTAACTGCTTTGAGAGAAAATGGTGATCTTTGGGCATCCGGACAATGTGGCCGGTCTAGCAGAGTTGATGGCAGAGGAGCATTGCTTCAATTCTGGTGGTCTCTGCTTCTTCCAGCACGCTAACATTTGTCCGCTTGTCTTCCCAAGAGATTTGCAGGATTTTTCGGAGGCAACGCTGATGGAACCGTTCCAGGAGTTGAATGTGTAGACAGTCCACGTTTCGCAGGCATATAGCAGGGTTGGGAGGACAATAGCTTTATAAACAAGCACCTTGATATGTCTATGGATGTCCCGGTCCTCAAACACTTCCTTCGGAAGGATGCTGCACTTGCAGAGCTCAGGCGGTGTTGTATTTCAGTGCCAATGTTGACCTTTGTGGAGAGGTGGCTGCCAAGGGAGTGGAAATGGTCAACGTTTTTTAATGTTACACCATTAAGCTGTATTTCTGGCATTGCAGACAGATTGCCTGGTGTCTGCTGGAAGAGCAGTTTGGTTTTCTCGATATTCAAAGAGAGGCCAAGCTTCTTGTATGCTTCTGCAAAGGTGTTAAGAGTGGCTTGTAGGTCTTTTTCTGAATGAGCACAGACTATGTTACCATCGGCATATTGGAGTTCTATAACAGAAGTTGTGACCTTAGTTTTGGCTTTCAATCTGCTGAGGCTCATCTCCATTTCTAATCCAAAGTGCCAGCGTTGTCAGTAGATGCCTCCAAGATAATGTGATTGTCCGGAGCACTGTTACCTTCCTGCAGAAGTGGCATCTGTTGATCTCTTCACACTTGCATGTTTTCAAACTGCTAGGTTGGCAGAAGCTGGGGCTAACAGCAAGAGCTCACCCCTCTTCCCGGATTTGAATCGCTAACCTTTTAGTCAGCAAGTTCAGCAGCTCAGCGGTGAAGTGGACTACCCTGCCATTTAAAGATTATCTGCTTTGAACTGGATTATATGGCAATGTGGACTCATATAATCCAGTTCAAATCTGGATTATCTGTTTTGATACTCAAGTTTATATGCCTGGCTTCTGTCTACAAAAGCTTATGCTGCAAATGTCTTCTTCCTTCTTTACCATTTTCTGTCGTGCATTTGGCCTGCCCAGTGTGTTTTATTTTCCATTATGTTATTTTGTACTGTTTATTTCACTTGATTGGTTTATTTATTTTATTGTGATGTTATATTGTTGTTTATATTTTGTGTTGCTGTAATGTTTTGCTAGGCTTGGCCTCATGTAAGCCACTCCGAGTCCCCTTTGGGAAGATGGTGGTGGGGTATAAATAAAGTGTATTATTATTATTATTATTATTATTATTATTATTAACCCCGTGCGCTACTGGGAGATCCCATATTAAACTATATTGTTATTGTTATTATTATTATATTTTTATAATATGTTTTTCTAGTATGTTGTTATTATTTATTATATTATTATCCTGTATTATCCAATTCAAGGTGCTGGCATTGGCCTATAAAGCCCTAAACGGTTCCGGCCCAAGATACCTAACTGACCGCATCTCGGCCTATGAGCCCACGAGGACTTTGAGATCTTCCGGGGAGGCCCTGCTCTCAATCCCGCCTGCGTCACAGGCACGGCTGGCGGGGACGAGAGATAGGGCCTTCTCGGTGGTGGCTCCTCGGCTGTGGAACACCCTCCCAGTGGACATCAGGCTAGCTCCCACCCTATTGATATTCCGCAGGAAGTTAAAGACCTGGCTGTTTAGGAAGGCATTTGATCAAGAAGTGCAATAACTGGCAATTGACCATAGGAATGGAACAACGGAATTGATATCGGATTGTGGGTTTGACGATGAGACGACTCGGAATGGCTTTTGTAATTGTTGATGTTTTGATGAGATGTTTTTCTGATAATGATGAATTGTGGATTATTTTACACTGTGGATTGTAATTTGCACTTGTTTTCTATGTTGTACACCGCAATGGGTCGCCCTTGGGCTGAGAATTGCGGTATATAAACGCAGTAAATAAATAAATATGTTATTCTTCCTTCTGATTAGATGGCCCGAACGCAGAAGAACAAAGCCACGGCGCATCATCTCGGCCTCCTGAAGGCCCGCCTGGCCAAGCTGCGCCGGGAGCTCATCACCCCAAAAGGGGGCGGAGGCGGCGGCCCCGGGGAAGGTGAGACATACCCCGCCCCACTTTTGCATACTTAGCTCCTTCCAGGGACAGCCCGCTCCCTCAGCCTCCCCTGTTCCTTGCATGGAGCCAGGCCCATTCCCCCCTTTGGCATGGGACGAACCTCCCTCCCGTCCCCGCATGGTATCTCCCTCTGCCAGTGTAGATAACAGAGCCAGACCCCGCCCCACTCAGGGAAGTCGCTTCTCTCATTTGAATTCCCCTCCAAGGAAGGCCCCTCATCTCAATAAGCGAGCCAGGCCCCACCCCTCATTGGTATGTATTGAAGCCCCTCCCCTTCCTTGCATAAGCCCCTCCCCTCATTTACATGCACTGAAACCCCTTCCAGTCTAGATAGTACAGCTAGGCCCCACTCCTCATTTACATGCAGCAAAGCCCCTACCCTCCCAGGGAGGCCCCACCCCCTCATCCTCTTCCCTGCATGAAGGCAGACCCCGTCCCTAATGTGCATTCACTGTAGCCCTTCCCCTGATTGGCATGGCATGAAGCCCCTCCCCCTCTGGCTCTCCTATTCCTTGCTTGGAGCCAGGCCCCTCCCCTCATTGGCCTGCAGCAAAGCCACTCCCCTCCCAACGAGGCCACTCCCCTCGCAGTCTAAATGATAGAGCCTGGCCACTCCCCTCCCCAATCTAGGTAACAGAGCTAGGCCCTGCCCCTGATTGGCACGCACTGAAGCCCCTCCCAAGGAGGCCCCTCCCCTCATTTGCATGGAGCGAAACTACTCCCAGGAAGGTTCCACCCTCTAAGCCTCCTCTACTTTACATGCAGCTAGGCCCCGCCCCTCATTGGCATGCAGCAAAGGCCCTCCCTTCCCAAAGAGGCCCCTACCAGCCTAGGTAACAGACCCAACCCCCTTTTCATTTGCATACTTGACCCCTCCCCACGATGCCCCCACGGAGCCTCCCCTCTGATGTTCTACCCTTTTGCCAGGTTTCGATGTGGCCAAAACGGGGGACGCGCGCATTGGCTTTGTGGGCTTCCCCTCGGTGGGCAAGTCCACCCTGCTGAGCAACCTGGCCGGGGTCTACTCCGAGGTGGCCGCCTACGAGTTCACCACACTCACCACCGTTCCCGGCGTCATCCGCTACAAGGGTGCCAAGATTCAGGTCAGGCACAGAGGGGGGAGGGGCCAAATGGAGGAGGGGAGGGGCCAAATGGAGGGGAAGGGGCCACAAGGAAGAGGGAGAAGTCAGAATGTAGAGGGAACCAGAAGGGAAAGGAAGGAGTCAGAAGGTAGAGGGGAGGAGCCACATGAAAAACGGAGGGGCTATATATAACATTTATTTGAAACATTTATATTTTAAACATTTATATTCCGCCTTTCTCACCCCAAAGGGGACTCAGGGCAGAGCACAACATATATCCGGCAAGCATTCCATGCCGGGACATAAATAGTTATAAATATTTATATATGTAACATAGTGATAACATATTTTAATATAATATTTCTGATATAATAATAATAATAATAATAATAATAATAATAATAATAACACTTTATTTGTACCCCGCTACCATCTCCCCAAGGGACTTGGTGCAGCTTACATGAGGCCAAGCCCGCAATACATCAATAAACAGAACATCAATAAAATAAAATAATACAATATTATATATGATAGAATATTATATTTGTAATATAATGGAGCGGGAGGGATTGGGCAGGAGCAAGAAGGGAAACGGAGGGGTCGGAACAGGAGTGAGTGAGAAAGGAAAGGGGAGGGACCAGAAGGGAAGGGGCCAATCGTGGGGGTGGGCAGTTTCTTCAACGGGGTTCTGCCTCCTTTCACAGCTGCTGGACCTCCCGGGGATCATCGAAGGGGCTAAGGACGGGAAGGGCCGAGGCCGGCAGGTCATTGCAGGTGGGCATGGTCTCCCAGGGCTCCCTCTCTCCACCCAGTTTGATTTTTCCTGACAGCCTCCCTCCCGCCTCACCATCCTTTCCCCACCCCAGTGGCCCGGACCTGCAACCTGATCCTGATTGTCCTGGACGTCCTGAAGCCGCTGGGCCACAAGCGCATCATTGAGACTGAGCTGGAGGGCTTCGGCATCCGCCTCAACAGCCGGCCCCCCAACATCGGCTTCAAGAAGAAGGACAAGGGCGGCATCAACCTTACCGCCACGGTAGGCACGACATGACATGGCCCCGCCACCTCAGCCCCCCTCCTTGGCATGTAGAGCCAGGCCCCTCCCCTCTTTGGCATGAAGGGAAGCCCTGCCCCAATTCCTGTTTAGATAATAGACCCAAATCCCCTCAGCCCCTCCCCTTTGGCATGTAGAGAAGCCTCTTTCTGTGTGTTCCTCCCCCTTGCGTTATCGAGCCTGCCCCACCCCTCATTTGCATGGAGCAAGCCCCACCCCCAAGAAGGGCCCTCCCCTTAGTCTCCTCTATTCCTTGCATGGAGCCAGGTCCCTACCCGGGTGGCCCCGCCCCCCTCCCAGCCTAGACAGTAGACCTAGGACCAGCCCCTCATTAACATGGAACAAAGCCCCTCCCCTCCTAGAGGTGACCCAGTCCCCGAGCCTGCTCTATTCCCCTCATTGGCATGCAGCAAAGCCCCTTTCCTCCCACTGAGGCCCCTCTCAATCTAGACAATAGGGGCAGGCCCCACCCCTCATTGGCATAGAGCTAAGCCCCTCTCCTTAGCCCCTTCTTCCTTGCATGGAGTGGGCCTCCGCCCCTTATTTGCATACTTAACCCTTTCCAATAAGGCCCCCCTCCTTGAATAAAGGAGACAGGCCCCTCCCAGTCTAGATAATAGACCCAGCCCCTCACCTGCATGCTTGCGCTCTCCCCTCACAGCCTGGACAATGGAGCAAGGCCCCGCCCCTCATTTGCATGCAGTAATGCGCCTCCCAGCCTAATAGATGGAGCCAGGCTCCGCCACTCAATGGCATGGAGCAAAGCCCCTCCCCTCCCAGGGAGGCCCCTCCCCTTAGCCTCCTCTTATTGCATGGTGCCAGGTCCCTGCCCCTTATTTGCATACTTAACCCCTTCTAATAAGGCCTCCTGCCTTGCGTGAGGGAGACAGGCCCCTCTCCTCACCTGCATGCTTGGCCCCTCCCCTCCCAATGACGCCCCTCCCCTCCCAGCCTAGACAGCAGATCAATCCCCCACTGCTCATTTGCATGCAGTAAAGCCCCTCCCCTCCTAGCCTAGTAAATGGAGCCAAGCTCTGCCACTCATTAGCATAGAACGAAGCCCCTCCCATGGAGGCTCCTCCTCTCAGCCTCCTCTTCCTTGCATGGAGCCTGGTCCCACATCCCTCATTTGCATACTTAGCCCCTTCCAATGAGGCCCCGCCTCCTCTGCCACCCCTTCATTTTGTGAAGGAGCCAGACCCCTTTCAGTCTAGATCAGGGGTCCTCAAACTAAGGCCCGGGGGCCGAATTCGGCCCTCCAAGGTCATTTACCCGGCCCTTGCTTAGGATCAACCTAAGTCTGTTACAACTTGAAAGCACACAACAACAACAATCCTATCTCATCAGCCAAAAGCAGGCCCACACTTCCCATTGTAATACTAATAAATTTATATTTGTTAAAATTGTTATTCATTTTAATTATGGTATTGTTTATAAGTGGTTTTTGCACTACAAATAAGATGTGGGCAGTGTACATAGGAATTCATTCATTTTTTTTTCCAAATTATAATCCAGCCCTCCAACATTTTTTGAGACTGTGACCTGGCCCTCTGTTTAAAAAGTTTGAGGACCCCTGGTCTAGATCACAGACTCAGGCTCTCCATTCATTTGTATGCTTTCTCCTTCCCTTCCCAATGAGACACCTCCTCCCAGCTTAGTCAATGGAGGCAGGCCCCGCCCCTCGTTTTTATTGGCCCCTCCCTCCCCCCTTAGTGCCCCCAGAGCGAGCTGGACACAGAGACGGTGAAGAGCATCCTGGCGGAGTACAAGATCCACAACGCGGACGTCACTCTCCGCAGCGATGTCACCGCTGACGACCTCATCGACGTGGTCGAGGGCAACCGGTACGTCAGCCATGTCAGTATGATATTACATGCGCAATATATATTAAATCATGGTATTCATTATATTTGATATCATATGAAATAAATATTATGGCATTTTTTGTTGCATTATATAGTATATTTCATATCACATGAAGTATATATAATCTTTTGTATATATACTTGGGGAGCCGACGATGCCTGTGTTATTTGAGAAAGGCATTGTTTTTGGA